AAAGTTATTCTTGAGTGTGTTTGTGTAAGCAGCCTCCACAACTGCATTTGTTTGCAGGTTGCAAGAATGATGCTGTAAGGAAAGCTGCAATTCTCTGCCTTGCACAGGAGGAGCAGTCAGGGTAGCCTCCTCCTTCTAGACTCAGTGTGCCACTGTTGGGCCAGATGCACTGCACCTTGGCAGGGCCATCTAACTATGTGGAGTTCCACTTCTTCTTCGGGATAAAACAGCTCCCAGCAGAAGCAGGAGCCTTGGTAAGAGAGGGCTGGAGGATACCCAGAACTGAGTCATGAGGTGCCCCCATTTAAAAGAATGGCAATGCCCAAGCCTGGATGACTTCTCACCAGGGGTCCTCCTGACTCCAGCACTACCTCCTGAAGACCTGGAAGGGTCTATGGGCAAGGACTCACCAGAGGCAGCTGCCCCACCACCAGAATCAGAGGGGGAGGCCAAACCACCTCCTAGCCCCAAGGGATTCATGCACAGGCAACCACCCAGGGACAGCGAACCTGAAAGAGTAGTTGCAGCTGGGCCTCACTGCAGAAACTGGGTGACTAGGCTTGATAAGTCCCCCATATAGCCAGCTGCTGGCAGGGGTGCCAACTTAAATAAAATATTCTGGGGGGCCCAGGTAAGCCCCGCCTCGCATAATCCATCACACACACCATTTGAATGGGAATGCCCATCAACTTTGAAGGGGCCTGCCCCCTCAAATATTTGTAGGGGCCAAAGCCCCCACAGCCCCAATGAGTTGGCTCCTATGGCTGCTAGAACAATGCAGGGCTTTAAGCTCTGTGCAACAATGTGGCCCTGCTTTATACTCTGACTGATCTTCTGCTATCGCAACCCTTTGGAGTTTGACCAGCCCACCTGTCCTGGGGATCTAGCTTTCACCCCACCCTTCACATCTGGCTCAGGGACTGAGACAGGACAGGAATGGGTCTGCTATGCTGCCATGCACTCAACACAACAGCAGGACATCCGGAGCAGTGATGCCCCACCTGGGGGGAGGTTGGCTACGCTGCCTGTTTAGGAGGGGCTGCTCTGCTCCCCCAAGGCTCAGGGTCATGTCCTTGCTATGAAAGGAAAGGAAAAATCAAAGTGAAATGTAATCCTTTACTATTCAAAGTTGTTTGTACAATGTAATTAATCAGGAATTACAAAAACAGGGTCCGTTACAGGGCCAGGGTAAAGAAACTCTCAAGGCGCTTGAGAAATGTCTTCCTTTCAATAAATAATTAGGTAAGTAACAAAAAATTATTTACCAAATCAAGTCATTTGGTGCAGTCTCATGCTCCAAGTAATTTGCCTCAGCTTGCTAGTGCCACCCAATAAGTTAAGCTATGTAATCAGGGGTAAATGTAATGTGAGCACTTCAGAACAAACATTAGGAACACAAATATGTTTAATTATCTCTAGCCCTGCCAAGGCAAGTGTCAAAGAGTGAGATGAGGTGGGCCTTCATATTCGAAGCAGGGGATTAGAATAACCATTTTCCCTTCCCCGTACAATGAACAGTGGATGGAAGAATATCTGCTTCATGGGCAGCTGATAGCAGGAAATAGCTACATCAGCACAACCCTTTGTGGCCAATATATTAACTTGTGATTATGGTACTACAAATGATATTCAGCTTCGCAGGATGGGTTTGAGCCACAGGGGACAGCACAGCAGCGACATCAGCAAAACCTACCGCACTCACTGTGCCTACCTCTGTTTTCTGTTGCCCTTCCTTATTCATCTGTTTCCCCACCCTGTTAAGCAGCCCACAAGGTTCCTAAGGGTGGTCTGCCAGCAGAGCATAAGTAGAGCATCTACAATCCTACGCAAGGCAGAGAAAGTTTGATATTTTCTGCAGATGCTGTGGAAGAAGATGTCTCATTAGGTTCTCTTTGCCAATTAATTTTTTCTGTACGAGTGTTAGTGTGGGACAATACACATTCTTTTTCATGCTCTGAGCCTCATCTCAAACTAAGCAGTCTGCAGCAACAGATAAACAAACAGCATGTGCATCACAATCTTAATTTTTAAGAGTGGGCAGGAAATAATATTACAGTGGTACCTCTGGTTACATACACTTCAGGTTACATATGCTTCAGGTTACAGACTCCACTAACCCAGAAATAGCGCTTCAAGTTAAGAACTTTGCTTCAGGGTGAGAACAGAAATCATGCTCCAACAGCGCGGGAGGCCCCATTAGCTAAAGTGGTGCTTCAGGTTAAGAACAGTTTCAGGTTAAGTACAGACCTCTGGAACGAATTAAGTACTTAACCTGAGGTACCACTGTACACCCTCTGCCATTGAGCGGAGCCCGATAGCACAGTGGAGAGCAAATCAGCTTGCTTGTGAATCCAGGCAATATTGCTGGAATGGTTAGAAGTGACAAATTAAAGGTCAGCCGTGAAATTTAGACTCTCCAGTAGAAGAGAGTGCCACAAGACTTATCATTGTTTCCACAAGAGAAGTCACCTTCCTGTGATGCAAAGCCTTCCCGAGAAGGAAATGAATTGACAAAAGGGAGCAGAAGGGCAAAAGGGAGACTTGGTGTGTGAGGGTGGGGTGAGGTGGGGGCTTCTGGCCTGAAACTTTGCACATTTACTCACAAGCGAGGATTACTGGCTTCAATACTCCTGTAAGTGTATGCAAAGGACTGCAAAACAGTTCTTCTCAAATGCCAAGGAGCTAGGTGATTTGGTTATACTTATACAAGCCAATTAACGTTAAGCATATTTTAGGGACTTAAACAAAGATTGCATTATGCCTTGCTGCAGCAGACGAGATGTGAGTTGGCGCCTTCTTGTGATCTCTTAGTCTGGCATGGGATATGGAGGATGCCTCTTTTGCTGTGCCCTTTCTCCTGGGATACAGCACACCTGATGACAAGAAAGCAGCTCTCACCCCAAAATGGGAACATGACAAATTGGTTCTGCCTGTTTCGTTCTGCTTGCCTCTGCTTTCTGCCACCAGAACTGAATGGTATCTGCTTTTGATTCTCCAGGTAAGATTCTCTAACTGGAATAATTAATAGTAGGGTTGCACTGAATGCATGTGTGTCACTGTTGGCAGCAAATGGCGCCATGCCTGCTTCATGGAGTGGCAGTGATTTTTTATCTGAAAAAGCAGCACTCCCCTGGGGCAAATACAGTCTTCCTTAGATTTCTGATCTGTCCCCTTTCTTCACACTGTCAAGATCATGTCTTTCCAAAAGGCAGTTGCCATCAGCAAGGAAAAGAATACTGCTGCCCCCGCTTTGCATGCAACCCCACCTCAATAAATAGAAGGAAATGATACATTTCACAAAAGGTATGGGCTATTTTGGCTCAGCCCTGAGCCAAGGGTAACCATCCAGACCAGAGCAGGATTGCAGCTCCAATACCATCAGACAGAATATATGTGTCTGTGTGTCTGTCAGCTCTAAAAGAATTTGCCGTTGGGATTGATTTAAAATCCTTACATTTTATGGATTAGGTGGAGGAGAAAGGGGAGGGAGTGGGTACTTTGCTGGGGTGTCAGTATGTCTAATATTCTTCCCTTTATGCTGAATAAAAAATGAGAACTTGGCCTAGTTTTTTCCTCGCCCCCATTGTTGCTGCTATGAGGATTCTGCATTTGTCTCATTTCAGAGCATTGAGAGGGAAGGGAAAGGAAGGCCAGCAGCAAAGAAGGAATGTAAGCAAAGTGGGAAAGCAAGCAAGCGAGCAAGAGAGAAGTTCTGGGCCAAAGCTGACATTTATGGCTTTGCATCTAACATGCAGGGTTTGGGTGTTTTTTTTTAAAATGCAAATTGCAACAGCTTTGGGAGGGCTAATAATAAGTGATCAGAAAGAGCTTGGAGAGAATATTTAACCCTTTCTTTCTATGATGCATCTTGAGGGACCCCTCCCCACAAACTGGCTTTTGGGATTCCCATTCGTACTGATGGGTGGTTCCTCCCCCACCCCCACTAATGAAATCCCTCAGAAGAAGGATTTTCGGGAGGAAGGGGCTGAATTCCTTCTCCATGTCTTTGCTGCCTACCCACCCCCTGCCTACCCACCCCCCAATGCAATCTGCATTTAACTTCACTTCTAAGTTTAGCTCCCAGTTAGAGTCTCATTATTTCAGAAAGTAGGAAGTGGTAAGTTGCTGTGTATCTCTGCTCCACTCTTGCTTCCAGTAAACAAGTTTTGCAGGTTTTTGTGGTGCGAACAAATCCTCCAGAACCTGTTTGATCAGTAGCTCTGCTATGACAAATCTTCTTGCAGCCTCTTTTCCATGAAAAAGGCTCAGGAGAAGGCAGACAAGAGCACCTTCACCTTATCTGCCAACTTTGCTACCTTCCCATTAAACCATAGAGCTGTCCACAAAGTCAGAAGGCGCATTTGGTAAAGCTCATTGATCTAGTCTTGTCCTGGATGTGAGCAAATTGAACTGGGTTGGAAATAAGATTTCCCTAATAAGCTTTCCATGTCCCATAGGACATTTTTGCTGTAGTTTACTAAAACAAACAGGTACATGCCAGATATGCCTTTACTAGTTCTGTGACCAGGTTTCCTATGCAATTACCATTTCATAGCCCAAAAGCAGTGGGAGGAGAGTTTACAGTAAGGTGCAAAGGTTCAGTCCAGGACATAGTCAAGATTAAACTGGAAACAAACAAAACCCAAACACCAGTGCATTTTAATAACATCTGCTGTGCTTACTTTTTACATCTCAGAATTAATTATAGTAATCTACTCTGTAAGTCACCCACTTTAATGAAAGAGAATTTTTGCCGTAGCTGGCATGATTACCCAGCACACAGGTCCATTTAACTGTTGTATAATGAAATCCACCCGTTGTGTAGAACCCGTGATCTGGCCACAGCTATAGGAGTTCCTAATGAATGGATGAAGATGGATGAATGGATGGAGTTGCCTCATTCTGAGTCAGGGGAACAAAGCGCAGTGCTGGTTGGAGCTTTCAAGTACATTGGTTATTTCCTCCATACCTGTTACGAGAGATCTTTTAATTTGTGGGAAGGGCCTTAGCTCAGTGGCAGAGCATCTGCCTTGCAAAAACAAGGTCCCAGGTTCGATTCCCGACATCTCCAGGTAGGGTTGGGAGAGACTCCTGCCCCAAATCCTAGAGAGCCACTGAATTAGATGGACAATTGGTCTGACATGGTCTATGGCAGCTTCCTCTTTTCCTATCTTCCTCTATTCCTACTTCAAGTAAAGCTACCATAGTGCCTTCCAAATGTGGCAAGACTACAACTCCCATTATCCCTAACCATTGGCCATGCCAGCTCAGGCTGGTGGGTATTCGATTCCAACAGCATCTGTTGGGCACCATGTTGGCGACCCCTGCCTTAATATAAGATGATGTGAAGGGAATGAACCTGAGATCTTCTCCATGAGAAGCATCTGCTCTGTCATGAGCCACATGTCGACACGCAGAGAGCCGGGAGGCCAGCTGGCTAGCCCCAGCTGACCTGTCCCCTTCCAGTCATCCTGCTGCAAAGACCATCAGCCTCTGCTGGACGTAAATCAGCAGCCCAGGCTTCAAAGCCAGGGCACACTATCAGCAGAGCGAACTGAGCGCACAGAATAGGCATGAGGCTTGTGGAAGCATACTACAGCTACAGATTTCTGAATCAGAAATCAGGACAAAGAAACATGTCTCTCTTTCTCTCATCATCTCAGAGAGAACGGGGAAAAGCAAAAGCTATACACAACGGAAGTTCCCAGCAAGCTGTGCTGGAATGTAAACAGACATGTGACACGCAACAGTTCCGCACGTCTGCTCCTTAAGGTGGAATGGAAATGCTTTTATACCCAAAATATGCAGAAGTGTGAGAAATACAACTCAGGGCATCTTAATTGTATCTATCATTTAGTACTAATGAAAATCCTAAGGAGCTGAGGGAAAGCCCTTCCAGAGCTGTCTTAAAAGAATGGCACCACTGCCCAGGACTGTGCAAGACAGGGGTGAGGAACTTTTTTTTTTGCAGGCCACATTGCCTTGAAGATAATCTGTCAGGGGCCACATAGCAGTGGTGGGTGGGGCTTGAGCCAAATGTAGGAAGTGTACCCCTTTCTCCCCTCTTCTCTCTCTCTCTCTCTCTCTCTCCCTCTCCACCTTTCCTCCCATTTCTTCCTCTTTGCCAGCTGTATGAAATTAGGCTTTGACTTTTCAGCCACAGGTTTCCCACCTCTGGTGTAAATTTACGATTTTTTAAATTAAAAATCGGTTGCATTTTCCAAAATGGTGTTTAATTCACAGATTAAAATGTTCTTGCAGACCAAAGCAGCAATCCTTACTTGGAAAAAGCCCCACAGAAGAGTCAGAAAAGCAACTGGAAGATCTCCCTCTGAAAACACAAAAATTAGCAGTTTTCTGAATTTGCCCTTTGTCCTTTCACTCTAACCCAGCTAATGACATGGAAGCTGGCTCCCACCAGCATATGCCTAGCTGGATGCAGAACCACGAGTCCAAAAAAGATTGAGCCTGCCTGATCCATAAGCTGTATACCTATTTAAAACATGGGGATCCCTATATAACGCCAGTTAAACTGGCCAAAATGTATAAAACATGCAATAAGTGTTGGAAATGTAAAGAAAAAGAAAGCACTTTCTATCATATGTGGTGGGAGTGTAAGAAGGTGAAAGACTTCTGGGAAATGATATACAATGAATTGAAAAAGATATTGAAATATACGTTCGTTAAAAAACCAGAAGACTTTCTATTAGGAATGGTAGGAAACGAAATCAATAAGAGAGACTGTAAACTGTTTCAATATGCAGTGACTGCCACAAGGATACTTCTGGCCCAAAGATGGAAACAGGAAGAAATTCCAACAGTGGAAGAATGGAGAAGGAAATTGACCGAATATGCAGAACTGGATAAATTGACTGGGAAGATTCGATATCAGAAAGACCAAAAGTTTATCGAGGACTGGGGGAAATTTAAAGAATATCTGAAAAATATATGTGATGCACAGACAATGCTTGTTGGTTTTGAAGAGACTCTGTGAAATAGTAAGAAATACTGCAAAAAAGAGAGTAAGAGGAAAAGGAGTGGGGAAAGGCAAAATCATGTTTAGAAATGCGTCAATAAATAGAAATTTTTCGAAAGATTGACAGAGAAACTGAGGGAAGTCAAAAATTGAAGCATGAGTGTAAAATAATTTGTTGAATGTACAAAATTTGTTTGGAAAATGAATAAAAATTATTTAAAAAAAATAAAATAAAACATGGGGATCCCATTGCTCAGTTGGTTGGGAGGGAGAGCAGGGACTAGATCCAATCTCCCCCTTCAGCTAACCATCCTCCTCCTATCAGTTGACTGGTAAGATTCCAGTTTCTTTTAAAGGGCCAGGTGCACTCAGCGCCACATCATTTCTCTGTTGGATCAGAGCCTGTAACTTTCAGACTGGAAATGAGAGGAACACAGTTGCCAGGGCAGTAATAGCCACAGGCTTTTGGCCTCTATTAGCAGAGGAACCATTGGGAAAATATTATGCCGTCTTATCTTCCACCTTCCTGTTAATTGCTTATTGATTTGGAGGCTTCCATTATTGGCTGTCTGCTCCTAAAATAAGATATTGTAAGGCCTGATTTTGAGAAGTATGTAACACCAATTCATTTCAGCAGGGTCTGTTGATGCCTGAAGATACTCATACCGAACCTGCACTCTTGTCATCATGTTAAGAGGAAATGCTCCATGACCCCTGCTATGAATACTTGAAGCCTCCCAAAAGGAAGGGGTTGCTTCCTGAGAAGTTAAGAGTGATACTATACAGTACGGCTTGGTTTGCCCTCCTTGCTTTCTGATTCTGCCAAGTCAATAAATTCTAAGGCAATGATAGGAAACCTGTGGCTCTGCAAATGTGGCTGGACTCCCATCAGCCCCCCAGCAGGCACAGCCAGTGGTCAGGGATGATGGGAGCTGTAGTCCAACAACAGTTAGAAGGCCACAAATTCCCTGCTTCTGTTCTAATGGAAGGCCCCCTAGCTCAATGGTAGACTACCTCCTTTGCATGTTGCAGAAGATGGTCCCCGGCCCAGTCCCCTTGGCATGTCCATAGAAAAGGTTCCCACTTGGGCCTGAGAAGAATGATCTCTGAATGACACCTTGAGAGAGCCACTGCCAGCCAGAGCAGACAACACTGTGCCAAATGGACAGAGTATTGTTGTTGTTTCAAAACACCTATATGCAAAAAACTCATATTTATTTGAGAGGAGGTTTGCTTGAGGTTAGTTCTATTTATGCCAATTATGAAAGAGTTATTTAATGTATACAGTAATTTACAATCCCCCTGGGCTACTCAAAGAGAGTAGAAATCACAGAATCAGGGATCTGGAGGGAACTCTGGCTGCCATCTATCCAGCTCCCTCCTGAATGCAGGACACAACTTGTAGCTGAGGAAGATTGTCTTCCATGAATATGGTCTTAACAGTGTGTCCATCAGTGACGGTGCAGGCCAATTCTGGATCCACACATCCTTGCACAGTGGGGACATAGGTTTCTGGGCAGGAGCTGATCATGGTGTGGGTTTGCCTTCATCCATCCAGCCTTCATTGCCTCCCGTGAAGCCCCTCCCAAGGCAGACCATTCCACCATTGAGTGCTGGGAAGATGTAACCTACCCACTCTGAATTTTCCCCTCATGCTGCTGTTTGTCCCACAGCAGCAAGTATACAGATGCCATACTGTGCCCCAGTCTGACTCCCTCTACCTTCCATATTAGATTTTTACCCTTGAAGTATGACTCTTCTAACACTGAATTTCATTTGGCCCTTATATCCAGGCAAGATATTATTCTCCTCAAATGAGAAGTAAGCAAAACTCTGTATTCTCTGTAAATGACAGACTCTACTCAGGGAAGACCTTTGCATTAGAATGCTAAACAAAGGTCCCTCCTCTCATTTTAGCAGGGCCTTCAATGCAACCCTCCTAATGCAGAGGGAAAGCCTTTATTTTAACAGTGCCTTGCAATGTGCTTTGAAGTCCCAACTTTGGTACTTTCAAGCACCTTGCAGTTGATGTCATTGTGGTGCCAGGTAATTGGCAGGTCAAATTTGGCCTGGGAGGTTCCATACTGCTGCTGCACCCCTGCTGCAGATAAACTCTCATGGCTCATTTGGAGACAGAAAGAGAAAGGGTGGGGATCCCTCTGATGATCTTCTCTCTCTCAGGTTGCTAATTGTCCCAGAGGGTTGCATGGAGGGGAATTAGCTGCCAGAAAGGATATGATAAGCTGAGCTAGAGAAGGAAAGAGAAAGGCAGCCAGATGCTCTGAGTTTCCACTCCAGTTCTGTTCCCCCGGCCCAACATTTTTGAAATTAAAAAGTCAGCAACCCTACTTGAGGCTCCAAAATCCTTGGGAAGTTGATTGCTCACATCCACTGAAGCATAAATTGGCAGTTCCAGCCTGGAGATTTATGGCTCATGGCAGGTCTGATATGAATCTATACTCAGCTCAAATCTTTAGGGCAACAAGATGCTGTTATGATGCACATCCAAAGAAGCTGTCAGTACTTTTCAGACAACCTCAACAAAGTCTCCATTAAATCAGACAGTTATTGTAACGGGGGAGCTCTGGGGTCACCCAAGGAGCTAAGTATTGGGAATGGTGCTATTTAATTTATTAATAAATTACCAGGAATCAGTTGAGAACTGGGGTAGCCAAATTTGCAGGTAACATGACACAAAACTATTCAAGACAAGTGTAATCTGCTGCCACAAAAAAATTCAGAATGGAGAGTTCCTATCCAAGGTTACACCTCGCCATGCCCTCTTCCATTTTTATTCTCCCTCCCACTTTCCATTTCCCCCCTCCAATGGTCAGTCTGCATTCCATAGCCACTGAACATGTTCAACCCTTTTTGAGCTGTTTTGAAAGGTCCCCCCGCCCCAGTCTTTTCATTTTTTAAAGACTTCTTCCCAAGCCTACATTTCCTAAGGGCTCCTTGTGCTTCCTGTACTATAGAGCATCACACCAGGTGCCAGAGGTGAGGAAAGAAGAGGCTGCCTTCCCTGCCTCCTTTTTGCTGCCACCACTGTTGGAGCATCATTACCACCACCAGGCCAGTAACTAACTGCATGGGGA